AAATCAATCACAAATTAAGTCAATTGATAATTAAAAAACACAATAATTTATTTTTTAAAAAACAAAGTGAGTAAAAAAGATCAATTACAATTTTTTTTTTGGGTCAAAATACAATCTAATCATCATCAATAATTGGTACATTATGTAACCCTAATGAGTACAATCTATTTTGTTTTTCAAAAAACACAGTGAGTTAAAAATCAAATCACAAATTAAGTGAATTGATAGTTAAAAAACACAATAATTTTTTTTTTCAAAAAACACAGTGAGTTAAAAAAATCAATTATAATTTTTTTTTTCAAAATACAATCTAATCATTATCAATAATTGGTACTTTAAAAATCAAATCAGAAAAAAAAATCAAATCAAATCACAAATATTTTTATGCTATCTAACTACAATCATATTTTTTCCATAAATAATTGTAAAGAAAAATCATTAAAACAGTAAATAAAAGATTAAATCACATTAAAAAAAGAACCATTGAACAAACTACAATCACATCACATTTTTCTCAAAATAAAAAAAATAAATAAATGAAAAAAAGAACCATTGACTAACTACAATTACATTAAAAAAAAAAAAAGAACCACTGAACTAACTGCAATCACATCTTTTTATTTGTAAGTGTTTATATTTATCTAACTTCAATCATATTAAAAATAAAATTAAAATAGTAAATAAAAGATTAAATAACATTAACAAAAAAAAACTATTGAACTAACTACAACAATCATATTAAAAAAATAGAGCAATTGAACAAACTACAATCACATCATATTTTTCCCATAATAAAATAAATAAATGAAAAAAAAAGAACTATTAAACTAACTACAATCACATTAAAAAAAAAATCATTTAACTAATTCTAATCACATTTTTTTCTTTGTAAGGATTTATATTTATCTAACTTCAATCATATTAAAAAATCAAAAATACAAATGTAAAATAGTAATAAAAAGATTACAATAATTAAAAAAAAAGCCATTGAACTAATTACAACAATCATATTAAAACAAAGAGCCAGTAACAAACTATAATCACATCATATGTTTTTCACATAATAAATAAATAAATAAATAAACTATAAACTGAACTACAATCAACATTAAAAAAAAAAAAGAATCAATTCAACTAATTATAATCACATTTTTCTCTTTTGTGAGGGTTTATATTTATTTAACTTTAATCATATTAAAAAATCAAATTATAATTTTTTATTCGCTAGACAAATCACAAATATTTTTATGCGCTATCTAACCACAATATTAAAATAGTAAACAAAAGGAAAAGTCAAGAAGGAAAAAACAAAAAGAAAACTTACTGTTTGCATACGTGGTCACTAAAGTTGAAAGTATAGAAGTAAGAAGTCAAGAAGGAGAAAACAAAAAGGAGACTCACTATTTGTAATAGGTATGTGAAAAGTTAAAAAGAATGTGCGTATTTGAAAAGTTAAAAAGACTTAGAAGAATTTAATAAGTACTAAGTTTTTTTTTTTCAAAAAAAATCAAAAAAATTAAGAAATTAAGGTTCAAATATTGGAACTCTGACAAAATTTGTGGGTTAGAGATAGATATAAATAAATAGATAGATATAGATATAGATATTTATATTTGTTTTAAATTTTTTTAATATATAAATTATTTGTTTCGAAAAAGGTACTGCAGTAATTATGAGAGAAGTTAAAAAGTCTTGTAGATTAAGAGAAGTTAATAAATGCTGAGGCTAAATTTTTTTAAAAAAACAAAAAATTAGAAAATTAGGATTGTCATATTGAAGCTCCCACAGGCCTTGGGGATTAAAAATCCCTTTCTGCTTAATATATAGTATAGATAAGTGTACTTATTTAGATAAGTGCATTTATTTAGATCACATTAACTCTCTACTTTTTTGTATATCCAAATCATAATGTCATATCCAAATCATAATCATTTCATTTTTTCTTTCACAAAAGTCAAAAAAGCCAAAAAGTCAATCCTAAACAAGGCTTTTTAACCCCAGGCTAAACAACAATGTTAGGTATTATGAAAAACTTTTCATGAAAATAATCATGAAAGCTTTGTGACCTTTGGATTACACTTAGAATAAAGCACCACACACTAATCAAGGTAATCCAAGGGTCATAAATCTTTCATAATCATTTTCATGAAAAGAATTTCATGATCCCTAACTTTTCTCTATGTTAAAATAGCCAAAAAGTCAAAAAAACTAAAAAGTTAACCCACATCCCGAACGAAGACTTAGTTGATAAATTAGATTATACATTTTTTATTGGTAATTTTGCAATTAAAAATGTTAAAATTGTGGCATAAGCTTGTTTGGGAAGAATATTGGGGAAAAAATAGTCATATAAGGCAAAATTGGCTATTTTAGTTAAATATGACAAAATGTCACATCCAACCTATAATCATTTCATTTTTTTTTCTCACAAAAATCAAAAAAGCCAAAAAGCCTATCCGAAACGAGATTTTTTAGCACCAGGCTAAGATAGCCAAAAAACTAAAAAATTAACCCACATTCCAAACAAGCTCGATATTTCATTACAATTTGTTTATTTTTTTATGTGCTAGTTGATTTTTATTTTAGTCGTTTTTCTTATTATAAACTTTATTATATATTTAAATAAATTTTAATAATTATATATAAAAGTAACTTTTTTGTAAATACTATTTTAAAAAAATAGATACATAATCTTTTAGAAGGCTACTATTTGTCCCCACCTTTTTACTTTGCCCTCCCCCAACTTCTTTGAACCCCTACCCAGAAAAATGAGTTCCCCCAATTTTCTCTTTAAAGCCCTACCTTAATACCAACTATATCCCTAACTCCAAACCAAACACAAACCCTAGCCCCCTAACTCTGGCTGGCAATCCTGTCCCTTCGGTGACCTCCCAGCACCTCCTCCATCGACGACCATCCTTTTATAACCTCCGACCACCGTGACTTCCTTCCTCTTCTCTTTTTATTTTATTTTATTTATTTTTAGATCTGCGGCGGAAATCACAATGGCAACTCTCCATTCGCTAAATTTAGGGAGAAGAAGAAGAATAATAAAAAGAAGAAGACGACCAGACCCACCACCACCACCTACCCTGATATGGGTCACCTCTTTCTCTGTCTTGCTCGATTTCTGTTTCGCTTTCTTTGTTATGCTCTCTCTCTCTCTCTCTCTCTCTCTCTCTCTCGCTCTTACTCGTTGTCGCTTGATCTCTGTCTTGCTTTCTCTCTGTCACTCGATATCTCTCCCTCGCGGTGGCTAGGGTGTAACATTTTGTTTTGGGTGACCGCTAGAGTGGTCATCCGGTCACTCGATCGTAGATGCGAAGCTCCCAGTATCTTGTCTGTTTGTGGGCAAGACCACTCGAGCATAGAATCCAGACTCTCAATATTTTCACTGTAGCTTTACAAAATTTATGGAACCTTACGTTTATTGCTCGAATGGTGAAAAGTTCGCTTGAGCGGTCTAGTCGAGACATCTCACTTAAAGGTCAGTTAAACACTTTTCCTTCTCATTTTTTCCAACTCTATTCTCTCTTTCACACCCCTTTTCGAGCCCTAACCCTAAAAACACTTAAATTCCTTAAGTTTTACTAAAGATTTACCTAAAATCCTTCAAGAAAAATGAAGAGCAAGCTTGATTCAAGATTCTCACCGATTGGATTGTGTTTTGGCCAAACTTCTTGTTTGGTCTTCAACTCTTAGCTATCATTTCGAGGTAAGGACACTTTTAACTCGTTATATTATTGATTTGAGATATATATGTGGTAATTTCTTAGGTGTAATATGGCATGATCATATCCATTTCAATTGCTTATATAACTTGTTAATTGTATCTCCTACTAGGCACTAGCTCATCCTAACACTAAACACCTTTCCGAAAAACGATGTTGAGGCGCAATCTAAATGATTGACTTGGGAAGTGATTTTGGATGGGGGCACGAAAGCTCTCTTTTGATGTTTGATGTTTAAGCCACATGCTATTTTTGTATGGAAATTTAGACTCCATTTTTTGTATTCAAGGACACTCCTTGAAAATATGTTTGCCTTTTTGGCTCTTTCTTTATATCATCTCTTGTCTTTTGAACTATTTTTATTTTGTGGTAGATGTAAACAAATAATGATGTAATCACTGGAACAATTTAATGGAAAAGAGATAGTCATGGAATTTTATTAATATTATTATGGATTTACTCTCTCTCTCTCTCTCTCTCTCTCACTCACTCACTCACTCACTTCTCGATATTGGATGACCTTTGGTGAACATGTTTTGATTGAGGTAATGTTTTTTGGGGCGTTACAATTTGGTATCAGAGCTAACTGAGTCTGAATACCTGAAACTCGTGGGATGTGGCTTATGCCACAATGGGTTGTCACATTGGGATGAGACGTTAGTACTATATATATTTATGTGACTATGTGGGTATGGGTTCAGTTTCTATGAGAAGTTTGGGGAGTACGGGTCCTAGCCGAATTACTTGTTTTAGGTGTGGCCAACAGGGCCACAAGGCATCGGAGTGTAAGCAAAATCTTAACCATCAACAATCGGCTCGTTCTCAGAGCCAATCCCAAGGTAGGGGCCAGTCGCCCATATGTTACCATTGTGGACAGTCGGGGCATATGAAGAGGTCTTTCCGACAGTTAGCCGAAACGGGAGGTGCTTCGGGGTCCTAATAGTCTGGAGGTCATCAGGCAGGCTAGGGTTAGAGACAAAATTATCAACTAGTTCAGTCTAAGCATGCATCTAGAGCGGTGTAAGGGGCTATGTTTGCATAGTCAGCGCAACCGACCTACATTCTGAAGGGTGATCAGAGTGAGCAGAGACCACAAGGACGAGTTTATGTTGTCACTACTTCTAAGCAATCTTCTGGACCATCGGTGATGACAGGTACATATCTTATCTATAATACTTAGGCCAATGTGTTAATAGATACCTGAGCATCATAGCATCTACATTTGCATCCACGTTGGGCTTAAAGATCGAACAACTAGAATCTTCACTTATGGTAGAGTCACCAATTGGGGGTCATATTGTCTTAAATCGGGGATGTTGTGGGTGCGTAATCGAAGTCTCTGATCATCGACTTCCTTTCAATCTTGTATTATTAGATATGTCGGATTTTGACGTCATCCTCGGTATGGGCTGGTTATCTTCTTATCGTGCCACCATAGATTTCTACCGTAGAAGAGTTATTGTGTGCACAGCAAGTGGGAATTTTTTTTATTTTCTTGAGTATAAGACCGATGATGGATTGTCGCTGTTGTATGACCCGCGAAGTCGAGGCAAACTTAGTTTTCTTCTTGCAACCATCATGGATGATGGAGATAATGTGGTTCGGGGGGTGTTTCCTAGAGTGGTTTGTGAGTATTCAGACATTTTTCCTGAGGATCTCACAGAATTACCACCTCACCGCGAGGTTGAGTTTTCTATAGACTTAGTACCTAGTACGACACCCATCTCCATGTCACACTATAGGTTTACTCCAGCAGAGTTGCTTGTTTTGAAGGAGCAATTGCAATAGTAATTAGACAAGGGATTCACTCCAACACTTACAAATGCAAAATGACACCCTGGATCATGGTAGGATAAACATGAACAACTACGGAAAAAAAGGAATAGATAACAACACGAAACCATTAAGGCTCAACAATAGCAAGGATGTTCAAAGAAATAGAAATTTTAAATTAAAATACTCCTTTTGTTTTAAAAAGAACTTAGGACATTACAATAGAGATGGGTTAAAATAAAAATTGGTGTTAGAATAAAATTGTAATAAATAAATAAATAAAAAGAGGTAAATGTATGAAAATAGAATTATCCTAATTGGGCCTTTGTTTTAAGTGTATAGCCTAATGTTTTATATATATATATATATATATTTTTAAACGTATGACAGATCCCACCAAAAATTCACTTTAAATCTCTAAAACGTCAAAGTCGACTTGCCCGCTAGGATTCATTATTTTCCTTTCTAGGAATATGCTTTGCCTAACAAGTATTGCTTATTTAAAAATTTTCTCCTTAATCGGGTTGTATTTATTAATCTTCTCAAAATGTCTCTTTCTTACACAATTTAAAAGTCATATTTTTATTAGGATCTTAAAAGTCGTATCTTTGTTGGGAGTGCACTTTCTAGGAATCATACTCTAAAGAGGGTTTTAATCAATGACACGCATTTCAATGCTATGTAACTGAGATCTTTAGACTCACACAATCCTAACCCTAAAAAAAAAAAAAAAAACTGAACTAAAAAAAAAAAAAGGAATAAATTCCATACCCAAGAACAAACAATTTGCAATTGTATGGAAATATTTTGCGAATGACACCACGTAGTTAAGATAGTCTTGAGATGTTGGCTAAGGTGCCATGTGGATGAGTCATGTTGCCGATATGATCACAGCATTGCCGAGATGATCTGCAGTAATACTGGAATTCCGAGATATCCGGATAAGGGACAAGAGTCCGAGAACAGGGGAGGATCTTAGTTTGGATAAGGATAAGGCTCATGAAGAGTTTATCCCTATTTAGCTGAAATTTCAGGATGAACATTAAATTTGAGTCCAATGAAGTGAGGCTTCTAGGGGATCATGTCACTACTAGTTATAAAAGTAAGGTATCCTCGCGGATCTGATGTAAGTTCTTTCTTGTGAATTTAAGGCCTCATTTGGGAACAGGCTAATTTAGTAACTTTTTGACTATTTGGCTAAAATATGAGCTAAAAAAAAACTAGTATGTTTGGGATGACTTTTTGATTTTTTACGAAAAGATGTGCAAAAAGTAAAGAGAAAAGAGAATCTTTGACTTTTTGGTATGGGTTATTGACTTTTTGACTAATTTAGTAACTTTTTGACTTTTTGGCTAAAAAAGAGGATTCCCTACTATCTGTGAGAGATAAGATTTGCTAATCTGATTGTCGGAGTGTCCCTAGGTGGACGAACCACTGCGGATTTCTCATTGTTAGCAAGTGTTGGTTCAATCTATTCTGCTGGTGCTCTTCTGCTGAGTTTTTCATTTGGTTGTGTGGTCAGAAAGCAACATCTATAGCGATAATTACACAAAATTCAGAAAATATCAAGAATATTCAATGTATTTCATATCCTAATGCCCACAAAATTTATTTTCGGCAGACGAAATATCTATCAATCAAAGATACTTTCCCACAAATATGAAAATAATATATTTTGGTTTCTAAATTATTCGCTCGTTCACTTTGACAAACATCCAAAAAAATTGCCTAAATTTCTTAATTTAATCTTTTTTCAATGATTTGATTTTATTTACAATAATTAATTGAAATGTTTAAATTTGTGAAAAAATTTATTTATTTTTATAAAAATACATTATTTATTGACATGATTAAAGAGCATAAATGTCAAAAATGAATAAATAGTCTAGGATGAAAAGGGTATTTTAAGCTTTCATATGACAGCATATCACTTTAGTACTATGTCGTGCTCTTGTCAAAAATTTTTGTCTTTCGCACAAGGGAGATATGAAACATAAGCTAACACCTGAACACCAAAATAATAATAAGTGTAAATTATATCCATAATATATGTAATTTTTTTCTTGTGTTAATTTAACCTTTCTAATTTTGATTGTGTCAATTTTGTCTTTAAATTTTTTATTTGGTCTCAACTTAGAATATCTTATTATCTTAATGCCCATTATCCGTTAGACTAAAAAATAAAATAAAAATTAGGAATAACATAATAATGTCATTAAAATTAAATTTTATTAACATGTGCCCCTGGGATAATTTAAAATGATTGTACATTTTACATAAAATATGTACAATAAAAATTATACAAATATTTTGAACTTTTTAACATGTGCCCTCAGAGTATACATTAACAAAATATATTAGAGTAGTTTAAAAAGATTGAAATTTTTTTATAGCTTTTTTATAATGGCTACAATGGACTTTTTGCAATAAATAAATTTAATGAGTTAAGCTATTTTCAACAAAAATAAACTTTTTAGTTAATAAACTAATCTATAAGTCACAACCAAACAAAATCTATACAAATCAAATTGATAAAAGGACAAATTATATGGGTAGTTTTTATATTTTATTTCTTGTGTTATTTTGATCTCTACACTTTCAATTGACTCGATTTTTATTCTTAATTTGAGATTTTGCGTCAATTTGGTCCAATTGATAATATCGTTAGTGTATTTTAAGAAAAATTATTACTAAATTGGTTGAGCTTACACTAAGTTCGATAAATTTATAATTTTGCCTTTAAAAATATGGTACATGACACTTGTGTGTATATTTTTTATAAAAAAATATTAAGAGTTGTAACTAATTGGACCAAATTAAAACAAAATTATAAATTCAAAGTCAAAATTGAATCAATTGAAATCACTAGGACTAAAATGATATACAAACCAAAATTACAGGGACTACTGTTGTAATTTTCCCTTGATATAAAGAAAAGAGAAGCTTATCTTCTATCCTCATTTGGACTAAAGATGCATTGTCCAAGCTCGTAGGGCCCACCACATGCCACGTTTTAATAATATGAACTGTCTATACTTTAGGACTCTTTGTATATATCATTCACATAAAAAATTGGGCCGATCTGATAATTGTATCATTCTCATTTTATCACATTTGTTTTCAACAAAATAAATTGTGTATTTTCAAAAATACATTTGTCGTTTATTTTTTTTGTGACAAATATAATAAAATAAAGATGTTCTTATTATCGGATCAACTTAATTTTTTGTGTAAATAATATACATGAAGAGTCCTAAAAAGTGAATAATTTAAATTACCAATATAAGATCTGTAAATAATACCTCTCCCATCCAGATGAGGATTGAAGAGAAGCTTTTTTTTTCCCACAAAAAACACTAGTAAAATTTGCCCTAATAATAAATAAAAAGGTTAATTATCTAAAAATTCTATTGTTAAGTTTGGTATTCTATTAGGTCCTCCTTCCTTTTTTTTCAACGCACAAAGTCATATTTTCAAAATATTTATGTATATATGGCTACTTTACCCTTATTAAAAAGCGAAAGGAACTGAAAAGTATCAATTCATTGAGTGCTAATAAAAAATTATTAGATGTTACAAGTGTAATGCATGACAATGCCATCTAACAATCACCCAACATTATGCCTTATGCCCCAAAACAAAATTGTGTGCCCCACTTATCCATCAATCACAAATATTTTGGTAATCACCTAACCATACCTCAAAAGCACTAGATATTTTCTCTTATTCAAATAGTATTGTTGGTGTGACATTTTACTTTTTGTTTTGTTATTTCAAAACTTCATAACTTTACTATATATAATAAAATTTATATATTTGGATCCTACACAATGGGATCTATCAAGGAAAACCAGTATTGAATATAAAATTTATAACAATAAAATATAATTTTTTTAGCTATACAAACTAATAATTTCTTAATTTGTGAAACTATCCAGCGAAACTGTGAAATTTTTCAATTTTTTTTCAATATTAACCGAGAATATTCTTTGTTTTTGAGAAATTTCTCAATTTTTTTTTTCAGTTTTAAAATTGAGTCAGTTTTTTCAATTTTAAATTGAGAAATTTCTTAATTTTAAACTTGGAAAAAACTGAAAAAATTACACCAAAAAAATATTATTAGTTAAGTAAGTTGAGAAATTTACTATTAAAAATAGTTTAAATTGTAAATTTATAATTAAAAAACATATTTTTATTCTTATATAATTTTTTATTTAATGTTAATCTTGTTTGATAAATTTCGCTATGTTGATTCTAGAAATATAGATTTTATAAAAAAATAAATATATTTTGTAAAAATTATGATGATTTAAAATTTTAAAAATTCAAAATAAATGTTAGATCATCATATTTTTTTTTTATAAACAATTATAAATGATGAATAACCATTATTTGAAGAATAATTTCGTCTATTAAAAATTAATAAGACTTGAAGGAATAAATTTTTTTTATCTAGAACTAAATAGAGTATAAATTTACAAAATAAAACTTATGTGTAAATACTTTAAATAAAATCATATGCCACGTTTTTGTTAGTTGGGAGGAACATTCTCCTACCGTTGGCTGATCTCAATCAGTCTTTTTTTAATGTGTTTGTGTGTATGTACGCACAAATTCCAGCAAGAAAATGCTTGTTTTCACACATTTCTCCTGAATTACAAAACTAACCTTAACAACAATTAAACCTACTCTACTAACCTTAACAACAATTAAACCTACTCACCCACCATCTATGTATCCTCCTCTCTCTCCATATAAATCAGTCTGCCTGTCTCCTTCTCTCTCTACTTTGTTCTCTTTCTCTCTCCTCTCTCCTTACAACCAGTCCACGTCTCTCTTTCTCTTTGTCTCTCTACTTCATTCTCTTCTTTTCTCCTCTCTTCAATAATTAAATTGTGTTTGAATTTATGATTTGAGTAAAAATTTGTGGAGAGGGAAAAAAATATAAGAAAAATAATGAAAATTTTAATTTATATATATAGTCGGCCATGGATGATGCAGTGCCGGCCATTGAT